ACTGACATGAACAATGAGTGGGCACCACTAAGAACCCCTGGGGCCTCTAAACAAATGATGGCACATGTGGCAAACTATATTGAAAGATTAGTAAAGTTTAATTTATTTCTTATTCTTTTAGATTTAGAAATATATAAAAACAGAAGTTCTCAAATTTTCCCCATGAGCCAGTCGTTTTCTTGCACCCCCTCTAGGCCAACGTGAGCTTACCTCACTTTGGAGACCTCTACCAGCCAATGGAGAGACTTTAAGAAGTGAATAATGTGAGGTTTTTTTTTAAACAATTACTCTAAAAGGAATAAGAAGGAAAACCAGGGGGGAAAAAAGAGACACCAGAAAAAGAAAAATCATTAGGACACCATTTGCAATAGATCTAGCAAGTGATAATGAGGCGCTAAAGCACACCAGTAGGGAGTTAGATGTGAAAGAGTAAGCGACATGCCCAGGGACGAAGTCATGGGGGCTGCCAGAGCCAACCTGGGTTTCTAGGTTGCACTGATCCTGGGAATGGTGTATAGAACGGATGAGCGAAAGACCTTTATCATGGAACTTCTAAGACTTCTCTTTAAAACTACTTTTGTCCACAATGCTTGATTATTTTTAAGTCTAATTTTATACTATAAACAAACTGTGGCCCAAAATGGCTAATATAATAATATCAACTAGCACAACATTCAGATAGGTAACTAAGTAATTTAGTCTAGCTGTATTAAAATTTGAGACTTAGCTTTCTAATCCAGGAAGAAAATATAGAGAAAGTGCAGGGATTTGAAATGCACTCTTTTGTAAAAGTAATAAGCTATTTTAAGACACAAACTTAGAGGATAGAATCCTTACAAGTGAGCTTCCAAACAAGATTTTGAAATGAAGCTTCCTCAGAGAAGTCATTTAAGAAGCCAGATTCACATTAGATTAATGTGACAAGTATAACAAGATAAATACATCATATGATTCTGAAATGACATAATTAATGTAGCTTATGTGGCACATTCCTATTAATGATCTTTTATTATGTGTGAACAATAAAATAGCATTAGATAAGCAATAAGAAAATCCAATCAGCTTTCCTGAAGGTTTTGACTGCAGTCTTATTTACACAGCGTTATCTGATACTAATCCTCGGATTTTTGAAGAGCAGAAATCACTTCAAAATTGTAAACAAACATGTTCCTATGAGATGAGCATTTTAATTACTATCATTTCTGCAAATACAAGATAAAAATAATGTGCTGAATGATAGCATCTTCACGTGAAAACAGGGGAAAGTATATTTTGCCAGGTCAATAAGGTTATGTTAATAAAAAGATTGTGACACTGGATTGGGAGCCTGGTCCATGGAGTCTGGTGGTATGTTTTAACAATGACTGTCATGGAGAGTCTGTGGAAAGTGCAGCTGTCCCCTCCCTGATGCTGTCTACAAAAGATTAGAACTGCGTGCCAAAATATTCTGGTTTCTTTCATAATCCACTACAGTGAAATTTCTACGAATCAACTGAAATATTTTGAACATTTTACATTTAAAGTTCATACCACCTTTTAGAATAAGAAAGTCTAAAAATACAAGTTCTATAAAGTAATAATTCTTATTTACTTTTCCATCAAATAAATACTTATTGAGCAACTATATTATCGTTGGTACCAAAAACAGAGGTATGAGATATGTTTCCTGAACTCAAGGAGCTTGAAGCACAAGTGAGAGGCCAGATACATTCATAAAGAGATAAAGATACATACATAAAGAGATAAAAAGTTTTCTATTAATAAAAGACCATCAGCCTAAAAGGTCATAGATTCTAAATGCTCCAAGACTTCAGATTCTAAATAAAATCACTGTGTTTCTTCAAGAAGAAGGGGAGGGTTGAAGAGCTTCTTGGTGCTGGTATCCAGAAGTGAAGGAGCAAAGCTCCGGCTAACCTTCAAATACTGGGATCATCTCAGCTCTCAGGCTGTATCTTTCTTGGATAAAGAGCCCTGGTCATCAAAATTACCCAAATATAATGATGAAGAACACATGTCTTGAAATAGCTAAGGCCTGGTCTAATCTTAGCTCTGACCCTGCCATGCTGTGTGACTCTGAAAAAGTCATTTCACCTCTATATCTTTTCCTTATCTGCAAAATGCAAATCATAACACCCACCACCTCATTAGATAAGAATTAAATGAATGCATATAGAGCAAATAGAGATGTCTAACATAGAGCAGGTGCTTAAAAAAATGGCAACTGCTATTTGCATGATCTTAAATTCCATTCTTACCATGATGCAGTCACAACAGCACAGAATCTTGATTTTTAAGGGAATTACAGGGTCCTTGATGGGAGGCCCACTGTACCCTGGAAAATCGGTCCTAAACTCCTCACAGGTCTTAGAGGTGGAACACGATTAATCATGTTCTGGTGGTTTCTTTGTGAAAAAGTAGCAGACTCTAATTGAATACTCAAGAGCCCACATCTTGAATCTTAGTATTTAGTTTAACGTACCAAGTAAGCAGAGAAAAGAGTAAAGAGCTCCCCTTCAATCATGTACCCCAGCTGCATGCTCAGTTAGAAACAAAGAAACCTAGAACCTATGGTCATTCTCTTATAGTGAGCCCAGAATTAACAAAAGCCAGCACTGGTGGAGGCTGACCAGGCACCATAATAGCAAGTTACCAACCAATCCTCACTAGTCATGGAGCCCAGCTAGAGACAAATGCTGCTTGGGGCAGCATTCTGTGGACGGTCTTCCTAGCTTTGTTAAACATCACATCAAGGCAGCATCACTTTTCATCTGTAGTGTTAATGGCTTTTATGAAACAGTTTGGCAAAACACATGGCATGTGACTGTACATGCTACACCACTACAGATGTGTTAGCAGACCCAGCCAGAAACCATGGCAATAATCTGATCGTATGAGTATTCTTGCAAAAGTAAGAAATAAACCTAATCTTTCTAAAGACTTACTGGTGCCCTACCAGAGTTGCATATTGAGTCTCTTCCAAGGAAGCTTTCATTTCCAATGTAGAAGAAGCAAGAATTGTTCTCAAGCCACCACCAAATAATCGTACAGTATTTGATGGCTCAGCTTATTTTTTTAATCTTCTCTGAAGTCTGCAGAATCAGATCTGGATCCTTATAACATGATGACTTGGGATTATGAATACAGTGAATAAACACAACCTTCTGGTATAGCAATTTAAGCATCACAGAGTGAGTAAATACTGCAGAGTGAATCCTAACACTTGAAACAGAATCTTCCAGCATCCAAAAATCCACCTGACTGCCAAGAATAATACTTCCGTGGTTCAAGCAATACCAGTACCCAGAGGGGTTTCCACAGACATAACCACATGAGTTACTGCATATTGGGTAAAATAGAAAAAACAGACATTTATGAACATATAGTTTACAGACATCTTAAAAGTACTCATAAATATGCAATTTACAAATATAGAAGAAATGTGGGGGGCTTTCGGAATACACAGCATCTGTTTAAATTGCTTAATTATATGGTTTCTTCTATGGGTTTTCCTCATTCTAACTGATTTTTATGGGGGTGGGTGGGGGTGGGGAAGTACACAGATCTCTTAACTAAAATAAATGAAACCAATCTCACTGAAAGAAGCTCTATGATGAGAACTAATACATGAGAGATTCTGACTTCAGGATGAGACGTAGAAATGACTTAGTGTCAGAGGTCAAAATTGTATCAGTTAGATATCAAAGAAAACCTTTCAATTCACCCGGCTATGCTGAAGCAGGGGTTTGTTAGGCTCTCTACCAATAAAATAAATGCACAATATCTTCTCATGCATTTCACACATGATTTCTATTTCAGCTCTGATGTAAAACATGGTATCACACATCATGCCACAAAGAAAGAGTCAGTTTAGCTAGTTCAAGTAAAACACCAGGCAGCTGCTAACAGAGACAGGTCATGTGGGGAAGGGCACAGCACATTCAGTTCGCTATGTTTTCCTTCAGAAGAATGTCAATAAAAACCACGGCCAAATGAGGTATTTGTAGGGGGGAGGGGGGAAGGTCCTGCTATGCAGTGAACCACTGGGTTCATCTAACAGTTAGCGCCAGTCAGACAAGTTAGCAAAAGGGAGCCCTAGCCAAACCAACAGCCGCCAACAACTTGAAGAAAGCTGTCTTTCTCCCTTAACGTCCTGGGGTAGGGACCAGTCCCACATTTAGAAACGTTATTTCTGGGACCAATAGCAATTTATTTTGATAGAACCACTGAATTTTTTTTCTTGAGTTCTCAACAAAGGAGCCATATTAGGAAATAATCTTGCAAAAAGCAAAGTGCCCCCTCCCCCTCTTCCCCACGATCGATGCACATACGCCCGTGCACGCTGACACGCACAGACACACACCCGTGCACAATGGCCGGCGCGGGCCCACGCCGCTGCCTGGGAGCCCCGCGGGCAGAAGGCCCGCCTGGGCCAGGCCCCAGGCGCTCGGGCTGGAGGCCCCACGGCCCGGCTGCCCGGGAACCAGCTGCTGGGCGGTTGTGCTAGGGATGCTCGCCCCCCAGCGGGGCCCTGGGGAAGCGGCTGCCAGCAGCTCAGAGCTTATTAACCCCTTGGGGAAGGAGGTGCTACAACAACACCCACCTGCGGGGACACTGGAATGTATCGGAGGTACAGCCCCAAATGGTCCCCCAGAGGTGGGGCACCACCAAATCCTTGCACCCTGGCAGCTCTTGGCTGGCTCCTACAAAGCTAATCATGTCACTAGCTCTACAGGGCTACTAAAGCCAACGGGTGTTACTGAGCTGTCACCCCTGAGAGTCCAGGCATACCAAGAAGGAAAAACTTAAGAGGGCAGTGGACGCAGACCAGACTTGGTAACTCGTCCCGAAGGGACTGGCGTAAGTCCCTAAGGGGACACAGCTGCTTGGACCAGCCCGCCTAGCAAACTATGGAAGGAGTGGAGGGGCCCGAGGGCCACTGCCCCCTGTCACCCTTCCCTGGGTTGGGCATCAGGGCCCCGTCCCCACTCCGGGACACTTACCTTCTTCCGGGGCTGCCATTTCATCATATTTGTACAGCCGATACGTGGAACATCAAGATGCTGGCTGGGGGCTGGGGGCAGATGCAGGGCAGCAGCGACTGCAAGTCATGCTGCCTCCCTCCCACCCCCTAATTCTTTCCCATATTCACTGCGAATAGAAAAAGCCCAGGAGAGTCCAGTCTCTTCGCCTTCAGTTCAATGAAAAGTATCCCCAAACCACGAACACACTTCCCACCGGGCTAGGAAGTCCCAGAAGCCAGCGTACTCCTGCCAGAGCGGGGCATTTTCCCTCCCGGGCCGGCGCCTGCAAAAGGAGCCTGCGACAGGGGGTCTCCCAGCCGGCTGCAGAGACCCTCCCTCAGAGAAGAGCCAGAGAACACGAGCTGCTGCAGAAACCCAGCCGGGCTTCTACCATCCAAACCCCTTTTGGCGAATTCTCCTCTTCTCAAAAAAAAAAATTAGACAAGCAATCAAACCCTCACGCGCAGCCTGGAGCAATTCCCAAAATTCTGGGTGTATTTCTCGTTTGTAAAATTTAGCAAAGAAAATTCCAAAGATCTGTAATCAGAGCTTCTTTACGCTGTTTTCTCTTCCTTCTTGGATAACTTGGGAAAAGGATCTGCCCTTCCCCAAATGCCTACCTTCCTTGAACACTGTAAATAGGAAAACTTGGTTTGTGTGTTTAGATTTTTTTTTTTTAATTCCCAAGAACCTTAGTGGGGAAAGGCTGGAAGGAAATCCTGCAAGAACCCAACTCCACAGCTCAGTCTGCACTAATGACTTCCTTCCCTTCAGTGTGAGCACAGCCTGCCCAGCTCCAGCCACACAGAGCAATCGGTTTCTGGGTCTTAGTGCCACGACATCTGCTCCAAAGCAAAAAGTAAAACATACGCTTCAGAGGAACCCAAATGCTCCTAAGGAATCAGATCCACCAGGGACCCACAAAACCAAGAAGCCATTTCAAAAGATGTAGTTAGATGTGTGTGTTATATTGAGAAAAAGGGAATAGGAAAGGACTTTAGACCAAAATGCTACAAAATCTTAATGTATGATTTGAAGAAAAAAGATTTGAGGTATCTGACAAGATAAAAAAAATAATCAAGAATAGACTCTGCTCCTCTAAATTTAGCATTATTTTATTACTATAAAAATATTGCTATGGAGACTGAGTTTCATTCATCTTCTATAAAATAATTCCATCCTATTTAAAGAGGTACATCTCCAAATACAAAATTCTATGTAATTCTATTATTATTTGTCATCCAACATGTCTATTAACACCTATCCCACCATGCAGCAATTCTGATAGCTGGGACTATAAAGGGTAGTGTGAGCTACTAGTATACTAACTGATGTATATAATAATAGTAACTGATGTACTATGAGTCCAAGTTCCAAATTGTTTCACTCATTCCTCTTAGAGTTTTACATGTATTGGCCAATGTGGGTGATTATATGCAGACTGAACACTTAACTATTGGGTTGTCAGAAAAGCCATGACGCATTTTTGCAACAAAAAACAGAAAAAATACGTCATGACTTTTCCGACAACCCAATATATCAGATTATCAATGTCATTAAAGTAGCCAAAAGAGTTAACTGAAACGGATTACTTTTGAGAGCTTTTCTAAGCCTAAGAGTCTGAAATTCAATGGTTGAAAGCAATGTCTTTTTAATAATGTTAACAATAATAGCTGAATGAATAGGTACTATTTCTTAAGCCAATACTCTATGTGAAGGCTTATGCCTGCATTTATTATCTCACAGCCCTGCAAGGAAGGTCCTTCTTTTCCAGGTGAAGACACTGAGATTCAGAGGGGTCACTGCTCAACCAAGACCACAACACACAGAAAGTGGTAAGGATGGAATTCAGTCCTACGATGACCTGACTCCAGAGCCTACGCCCATTCCATGATGTGCATCATAGCTACACATCTACCTTAACTCTCATCTGAATAAAACTATTATGTGTCCATGACTTAAGCACCTACTATTTGCCAGCCCCTGTTCCAGGCACTAGAAACGAGGAAGAGGCTGTCCCTGCTCTTGAAATTACATACTGTAGGCCGCAGTCACAATTAATACCAGTACTCCGTGTATGTTCTGACATATCCAAATCATTCTGCGTAGTTTAACCTGGATATCCTACTAGCATGGAAAGTTCAATAAATTCCAAACCAAATGTATCAATTTACCTCAAAATTGAGTTCTCTTTCCAACTTTCCTTTTATCTGTCCATGGCGCTGTTACTCTTCCAGGATCACAAACTAAAACCTGAACATCATTCCTTATATCTAATCTATCACCAAGTCCTTTCATTTCTTTCTTAGACACTGCTTTCAAATTCCGATTGCTGACATCTGAGGCCAGAGCCTCACAAAACAAACATAGTACCAATGAGGTGCAAAGCACCACTAGGATAATAAGACTAAGTCCCTATGCTAGAGGAAGATACAAAAAAATAAGGACAGAACAGAAGACCTATAAGAAGACAACCCGGCATTTCCTTTGTCAGATAAGCAAAACATCAATTACGTGTTCCAGGAGTTAGAACGAGAAATCATTGTAAATAGGGATGGTCCAAGGTTTCATAAAGGAATTTGAATTAAAAATTCAGAGAAGATACCGCTCTTTCTAGAGCCAAAAGCCAGACCATCAGTAATGGCCTTCAGGTTCTGGACCCTTCGATCTCTCAGAAGTCATCTCGTAGCCCTCTCTCAGCCCCTCCCATGCTGGCTACCTAACTGTCGCTTGAACATGTCAAGCATATAACTGCTGCACCCTCTGCCGGAATCACTCCTCCTCTAGATGCCTTTTTGGTTCCCTCCCTCAGTTCTGCCAGGACTCTGTTCAAATACCAGAAAGACTGTCTCTCGCCATTCCTTCTAAAATAACAGCACCATGACCCCACACACTGTTAATTTCTAGCTTCCTTACCCTGCTACATTTTACTTCAAAGCCCTTATGACATATATTTTAATGTTCGTTTATTTATTTAATGTCTTATTCATCCCATGAAAATATAAATTCCAAAGGATCAGGGACTTTGCTCTGTTATAATGCCATCACCCAATGAATAGTGCCTGACACAATGAGCAATCAATAAATATTTTTGAAAGAAACAATGAAAGAAAAAGAGGCAAGGAGGCAAGCACATGTAAAATGTACTCAAGATACAAAATATTGACCTGCCTAAAATTTAAGGCCTAAGTATGAAAATGTTAGCGGTAGAGACTTCGTCTTGTTCAGCTTTATACATCCCCAGTGCCCAGAATAGTGCCTGGCACAGCAGAGGTGCTCAATATTTAGGGGGTGAAAAAATAGGGGTGGAGGGGGAGAATGAACAGTGAATGAGTGAAATTCCACATCATACAAAGTAAAAGATACTTTGGCAAAATATGTTGGAATTAAATGGTAAGGGAACGTTATAAGGCAAAGAAATTTGGATTTTATCCTGTAGGATGCAGTAGGCAAAGGGCATGTTTGAAGCAGCATTTTTAAGTAATCTAATATGTAACAAAAGATTAACTATGAATTTATGAGGCTGTTTTTATATAAGCCTTTAGATTTTTTAAATTATTTATATGATTAAAGTGTTTATTATGACCATTTGACAGATATCGAAACTGAAATTCAGAGGGGTTAAGTGACCTGTTCAGTGCCACATGGCCAGTCAATGGCAATGGAAGGGCTAGAACCCAATGCCTGAGTGGCGGCGGCAGGAACCTACAATTGCTGAGGGGCTCAGGAGAAAAGCTTATACTTTCTACCGTACCTCTGACTTGCTATATAACAATAACTTTCAGAAGGGCATGGCAAGTTACGTGAATAAGTGAAACAGTCAGGTATAAGACAGGTATAAAAAGGGAATTGTGAGGATTGCAAACCTGTAGATACATGAATCATGTACAAGAGGTAGCTGCTATGCAGCCCTAGTCAATTAATGTCATACAAGACTATCACTCCAACAGTGCCAGCTCCCCTAATTTGCATGAAAAGCTAAAAATTTCCTGATTTTTAAGTGTTTGCTCAAAAATTTTGAAGCATCCTAACAGGCCAAACAAAACACGCCTGTAGGTCTAAATGCTGTCTGCAAGTCATAATTTGTGACTGCTGACTTAAACCATTCAAGGCTTCACTCTCCCTTATGTTAATTAAGGGACCTACTGTGGTTCCTAATCTGTAGGGTGGTTTTCTGAAGGCATCTGTGAATCCATATGCATACCAAGCATGGGTCTGTGGACTGAAGAGCAATCTCCCATGCTCTGATGTTATTGTACTTAATAAAAGACAGTTATTTAAATTGTGTGTGTGGCGGGGGTGGGGGGGTTGGGGGGGGCGGCTGAGAACAGTGGGCTGTATTATCAGGAAAGGAGACAGAAATGTATTTATGTTTCCATAAAAGACAGAATCAATCTAAAACCTCAAAGTGATACAAGGCTTTAAACTGGCTTTCAATTTTTTAGATATATTTCCTTTGGGTCACTTATTTGTATGGCATTTCTTCCCCTGCTGTCTGGTAAGTGTTTTCAGCTTTCATTTAATAGGCACCACTCAATAGAAGACCATTACCTAGAAGCCTTTAAATATTAATACTATCTTAAATCACCTTATTTCTTTTCTTTGTGTCTTTATTTATTTATTTTGCTTACTCCAAATTGAACTAGTAATTATACCTGAAATATTTAAGGAATTACTATTATTCCAATATACTTTCTTCATTAGGATTATTTATACAGAGCTACTAAGCGAACACAGTTCACTTGTAATTTAACTTATTGTTTCAAAGATCCAATATCACACAGTAAGAACACAATTCCTCAGATCTGGAGCTACTAAAAGACATTTTTACAACTCCTTCATTTTTTAACATAGCACTTCGCAATCACTTCCCTAAAAGCAGATACTGTAAAACAGTCTATTTAAATAGTATTTTCCTCAATAACTACTTGTCAATTCAAATCTGGAAAAAAAGCAAGAAAGGGGAAACGAATGAAGAAAACACACCTCTTTTCATTGTTGTGAATTTCTTCAAGATTTCCTAAGGAGTAACATGTCTGACACTGATCACAGGGTAAATGTCTGAAAAAGCTAGCCTCATACTTATTTACATTTATTGTGTTTTAGAAGTAGACTATTAAACTCAATGTGAAACAATATTTGTAAAATATATTAATTTTCCCAAAGACCTCTAAATTATTTTGAAGTATCTAAAGAGGAATTAGGAAACTAAAGGGATAAAGGTAGAAATGTATTTGAGACCAAAAATGTTTGCCTCATTAGTGATATTTCACACAATGGGGTACTTTCAGAATAGAAAGGCCTTGCTTCGCTAAAAATAGAAAACTAAAAAAAGTTGTTACAGTAAGAATTCTGCCACACAGCCAAGTTGATGCAAACCATGCTCCCATCCCTTGGGAGGAAAACTACTCCACAACATGCAGAGAGGATGACCTCCACCCTTACCCACCTCACTTCCTTTCACTATCAGTGTCAGAGGCTGAAGCCCAATCCTTCAAGTTCAGCACGTATTGATTGAGTACTTATTACCTATTAGGGACTATCCTAGGCACTGTGAGAGGAGACAAAAATAAGTCAGATGATTTTTGCCCTAGAAGAGACAGCAGTCTGGTGGAGGTCAAAGAGGACAGATACACAACTAATAAAAACAATAACAATTGCTGCTAATATTTACTGATCTTACTATTCGTTTGATGCTTTAAGAGCCCAAGCTCTTAGCACAGGCTAAGTGCGAGAAGCA